CACGTCGCATTTCTAGTAGCTTTCATTTACTTGGGGACTGCTGTCAGGGTGAGCCGTTCGCTTCGATGTGTTCTTTATACTTGCTAGTCATGCTCATGTTGTATTACAGAATTCTACGAACTTCTGTCATCAGTCTGGTTAGTAATTTTATGTTTACGAGACGCATGTTGTATACTTGTGTGTTAGTTTTATGGTGACGAAGCTGTTAATAACAGCGAAAGTTCACTAACGAAGCTTCATGATTGAGTGCTCAGTGCTATTCTCCTAAGAAGCTATCGAGATTCTGAAGAAACGGGCCCTCCAAGACGACTTAGTCTAAGTTTGCCGTATTTGGAAATTGGGCCCTGCGATCTTTGATCACTGATATGATCAAACGTATTGGTTGGGTACTCGCAGATTTCGCAGTTTACAGACTCGTGTGTTTTGTTTATTTTTGCAGCCTATCCCTATTTGGGTACTTCGTCATTCTTTTAGAATCGATTGGCTGCCTTTCTATCTTACCTTTTCCTACAATCTTCTCAGCCTAAGAGACTTGAGAATAACATCTGGCTCTGATCGGTAAATTCTTTGCTGTGGCTGTTATTAATAAAGGGCTGTCATTGAATGCTCTGCACTCCATTCGGAATACCCACGCAGTTATTATGTGTAGGTGTAATTGAAAAAAAGATTTTGGACATGTGTATAAGAATCCTACCGTAGAACCAATGTTGAGAATACTTGAGAAGGGTTGCTTTGGCTGGAATACCTTTCTTGAAGCAATGTCACCAGCCCTACTCTTACTATGTAACCAATCCAGGGAATTTCTTTTTCTTCTACACTTTCTTCTGTTACAATTATGTTCAGGAGATGTCTTGAAATACATTAATTCCAGGCTGAATGCGGCTCATGAGAGGATCGTAACAAGCGTCCGATTCTGAAGCATCTAGTCTGTTAAGAGATGATGACGACTTCTGGTGTAACCGCTATCGAAATAGGTACATTGAACATTAAGCACGATGCAAGTACCGGTTTCCAGGCTTCAACGTTAGTAGATGTTGTTCTCTTAGGAATGAGGTGTAGGTCCGAAGCCTAGTCAAAATTTTCATGAATGTCACGATTAGTCCATTTAAAAACGTTCCCGATACATTGTGAAATCAATGGATCCCTACATTTACGTTGGAGCTTCTTTATTGAATGGGGTCATGCTTTTATAGACTTCGTTGTAGCCAGTACTAATCCGATAGCCTATAACCAACAAAAAATTCATTTGCTAGGGAACAATTTGCTGTGCGAAGAGCGTTACTGTTGCCTTTTGAAGATCCCAAATGGGAAGCAGATTAGGAGCTTACTGCATTCTGTAGGATTTTTTGAGCTGACATAAAAAAATCACCTTTTTACAAATTTCTTACGTTAGGAACATTGATGTGGCTGTTAACTTCGGACTGAAATGGTCAGTCAATCGACTGGTAACCTTCCAAGTATTGCTTCTCTATTATACTGTCAGACCAGACAGAAATACTTCACGTGTGAAAATTTGAAGGAAGCGAAGAATAAGCCTGACGGTAGAAGCCAGAGGTACGTCATAGTTTTAAGTTCAAACAAAATATTTGACGGCTTCTATTTTGAACGAAACAATGAAGAGGATATTGAAAGAAATGAAGCAAGGAATATGTATACAATAAAAACAAATAATGTATATAATAATAAAATACTTATAATATATAATAAGTAAAAAAATGACCCTTACAGGACAAAAATAGTGCCTTCGGAACGCATGCATTGCAACCCGGGAAAGCCCAGCTCGGCGATTCATTTCGAAGCCTACCCAGGACTAAAGTAGAGCTGCATTAGAGGGTCCAAGAGTACCGTAATTGAGGTATCAAACAAGTGTAGTATTAAAAAAGAAGAAGACAACTATGCTGAAACCTGGGCAATGGTGAAGACAAGTGGTGCGGCAGAGCGTCATCAAGG